TTCAGCATCATTACTCCAGTCTTCAGTGTCACATGATCCTTCAGAAATCACTCTAATATGATGATTTGCTGCTCAAGAAACATTTATGATTATTATCAATGTTAAAAAACACTTTTTGCTGCTTTAAATTGTACTAATATTTCACAATATTACCGTTTTTACTGTATCATATAAATGCAGCCGTGGTGAGCAGAAGATACTTCTTTCAAAAACATTAAAAAATCATAATTGTTCCATGTGGTGTTTTCCCAAGAATAACCTATGAAAGGAGATTCGAAGGGTCACAGATTGACGTTTCGATGCAGCGATTGGGCTTTTTAAACGGTTATATTCTGGTTTAGACGTTTGCTGTTTGAAGGGACATGAGATTACATGCGCGATCATGTTTCTTTCATAAAGCATGTGTGAGGGAGTGGGCAGCATCGAGGCCCTTCGGCGTCTTCAAGCGGAGGAAACCTCTTACTCTAGATCTAAATGATTCATCGGTCTGATCTCAGTGGTAACCCGGACCCAGAATAACACGCTAATGGTCTTGTGTAACGTCTGGCGTGTCGTTGTCCGGCAGGAAGTTCGTTAAGAGTGTTGTGGTCGGTTTGCATCACCATATCAACCTAATGAAGTTCACAGGGAGACGTTGCATGTGTGTGTGTGTGTGTGTTTAGTGAAGCAGGGTAAGATCTGATTAGTTCTCCTCTGTGGTTTCCATCAAGCCAGAGTCTGGACGCTCATTAGCCCATAATTACAGTCAAGGTAATAACAGCTCTCGTTATCTTCCTCGTCTCCCGCACTGCCGGCTTTGGTTTCGTCTGTCAGCTCTATAGATTAAATTGTAGTCTCGAACTCAATATACATTTGCTGAAGACAATAGGAGTCATGCTTTGCCATGCGAGCCGTTGCTTGCTAGGGTTTTCCTGACACTTTACAGTGATGAAGTATTATAATGCGATTCATGCGGTTTCTTCTAGTACGAGATGGATGTTGTGCTGTTGATAGCACACGTACATCACGGAGACGTCTATTTGATGTCTGGAAGACGTATTTGCTCATCTGCAATACGCCTATAGGACGTTTCCTGATGTCAAATAGACGTTTAGAAGATGTCTTTAACCCTCTGGGGACGGATTGGGCGGTACCGCCCAAAATGGCATACTTTTACAAATGTGTAAATATCTTAAAAACTATTAATGATAGAGAGGTGCGGTGTTTTTTACCGTCTTCCTCAGATTCCGCTGAAAACAGTGATGACTTACCCGGCTTGTAAATATACACACTTCCTTGTTGAGGAATACCACTATGTAAAGGGCCAATGAAATCGATGTTGTTTGGCAGATTCCGCGAACAACAACCAATGGAAAAATTGCCGATGGAGAAATATTTTTCTTATCCAATCAGAGCAAGGTTACCATGACGTATCTAGCAAATCAGAGGACTCTGTAGCCTTGCAAGGGGTGGTACTATATAGTTAGGGATATGACGCAAACAGCGTTAAATGGAGAGAAGGAGAGAGAGCGAACGGAGCGGATTATCAGAGAAATATGAGAGAGAGACAGAACAATTATAATATATATATTTATATACATACAATTATAACATTATTTATTGTTTTAGCACTTTTATGATGGCAAGCAGTAAAGATTTACGGTGGAACAAGCTCTGGAACAATTACTGGAGAGTGACGAGGAGAAAGCATTGCTTAGAAAATTCTAAGCATTCCTAAGAAAAACGCCTAGGACTACCGGTATTTGTAAATAAAGTTACATTTTTCATTGTTCTTTACACATTTTATTTAACAATTACACATGTCTGTCAAGCAAAGGTTTTGACAAATATATATTTTTTTCAAAAACTGTTCATTATTGTTGTGTGATGTGTGATTTTCAGAAATAAATTACAAAAATCTCATTTCCGTTTTTGAAATTCTCTTGTTTATTGTACATTTTTCACTCATACTTCCTTTTTAAACACATTACATGCATGCTTATGTTAGCTTAGGGCCTTCTGAATCCATAGATACCAAACACATAGTGTTCCATCTCCATTACATATGGTTTATAAGCCCAAATGTAAAAATAGAGAAAACGGACCAAAAAGGGCTTAGTCCCCAGAGGGTTAGATGTAATGTATGTTAAACTGACATCTTAAAGACGTCTATCAGATGTAAACAGAAGATGCTTTCCAGATGTAGTGATCTTTAACAGACATCTTGCAGACGTACGTGTGCTATCTGTATTACTTCTTTACAGTTTACACACACTTATTATATGATTATTGCGATATTAAATATTATGCTAAAACAATTAGTTTAGTTTATTTAGTTTTATTATTATTTTATTAATTAAATGTAATGTTGTTTTCATGTTCTTTTGTGGCATTAGTTATTTATAGGGTATATAAATATATATAATATATAGGGTGTTATTATTATTGTCATATTAATTATTATGTAAAAAATAATTGTATTGTTAATAAATGTATTTAATTATTTTATTTGAAAAAAATATTTTAATAAATAATTAATTATGAATACAATAAATTCATTAAATTATATTATCATTTTATTTTTCAATATATATTTTTTATTTTCATGCATTGTTCCGGTTAAACCCTTGTGTTTTAATTTTCTATTATTGCATTCATTTTTTTTACAGTTTATGCAAAGATATTAATGTTAATTATTATATTGTATATTAGAATATTAGAATTATTATATATTTGTATTAGTTTAGGTTTAAATGCCACAGAAACAGCTATTATATTGCTGTTTGTGTATCGTAATTATTATTGTTTACAATTTATTATTTTTGTTTAATTATATTCTTTGATTCATTTGATCTGTTTTTAAATGCATAGTTTTTTCACTTTCATGCAGTATTGCAGTGCATTTCCGATAAACTCTTGAGTTTTCATTTTCACAGAAAAGTGAAGGAAAGATTGGAGTCAGAAAACTTGAATGCAAATCAAAGCTGTGTTCAGTAATGATACAAGTGCATGCAACACTAACACTGAGTGTTTGTTTTAGGCTCCAGGCTCTGGGTTTATTTCGAGTATGAGAGCTAACAGTGATGATTTCCTTTAGCTAACACTACTAATTATCCTCGGTTAGATCTTAAACTTCCTCTTTGAAGTAGCTGTTCCCCTAATGACTGTGTGGTAGTGTGTGTCACGTGATCTTTGTGAATGAATATTTCAGCTTCCCGATTCCCTCAGTGTAACTGGGCTAAAGGAGCGCAGAGTTTATCATGTCATATTCATGAGGACGAGCGCCAGCTTGCGTTTTTTCCGTCTCTGTTGTTCTGAATGGGAGAGATGTTTTCACAGCGGCGTGTGTGTGTGTGTGTGTGTGTTTTGGTCCTGCCCGTGCCGGTCTGGGATGGTTTTGTGTGTCAGGGGTATTGTGGGACGGTGGTTTACCTCAGAGGAAACACACGCCGTGGTTTCAGCTAATCCAAACACAGCGCTGAGTAAATAGCTGTGATGATAACTGAGCGTCCCTCGCTGTGGAGCGCTGGTGTGTTCAGGGAAGCCGTTATCTGCTCGTGATAGTGCAGATGTGTGCTTCAAAAAGACCATTGTTCTTCCTCAGGACATCTGCTTTCTGCCTAAAACTATTCAAACATGATTGCCAGAATTTGCCACTTTATTACAAGTTTACATCTTGCAAATCTGACTTCTTTTCTTATGATTCTGACTTTTTTCTTGTGATTTTGACTTTTTTCTTGTGATTCTGACTTCTTTTCTTATGATTCTGACTTTTTTCTTGTGATTTTGACTTTTTCCTTGTGATTCTGACTTCTTTTCTTGTGATTTTGACTTTTTTCTTGTGATTCTGACTTCTTTTCTTGTGATTTTTACTTTTTTCTTGTGATTTTTACTTTTTTCTTGTGATTCTGACTTCTTTTCTGTGATTTTGACTTTTTTCTTGTGATTCTGACTTCTTTTCTTGTGATTTTGACTTTTTTCTTGTGATTTTGACTTTTTTCTTGTGATTCTGACTTTTTTCTTGTGATTTTGACTTTTTTTCTTGTGATTCTGACTTTTTTCTTGTGATTCTGTGGAATAAAATAAGTTTAGGGTCAGTAATTATTTATTTTATTGAAATAAATTAATAATTTTATTCAGCAATGATGCATTAAACTGATCAAAAGTGACAGCAAAGACATTAATAATGTTTCAAAATAATTCTATTTCAAATATTTGCGGTTCTTATTAAATTTCTGTTCATCAAAAAATCCTAAAATAAACGTTTCAACAAAAATATGAAGCAGCACAACTGTTTTTAACATTGATAATAATCATAAATGTTTCTTGAGCAGCAAATCATCATATTAGAGTGATTTCTGAAGGATCATGTGACACTGAAGACTGGAGTAATGATGCTGAAAATACAGCTTTGATCACAGGAATAAATTACATTTAAAATATATTCACATAGAAAACAGTTATTTTAAATAGTAAAAATATTTCACATTATTACTCTTTTACTGTATCTTTGATCAAATATTACTCAAAAACATAAAAAAAAATCTTACTACCCTCAAACTTTTGAATCCCTTATTCTAGTGGAAATTAATTATATACCAAGTATGATTGAATGTACTGTATATGCAGTCCTTCCTCTAGCCACGCCTCTTTATGGGCGGAGCCACACAGACACGCCCCTCTCTCTCTTTCAAACACACTCTCACATGCGTTTAGAGTTTCTTCCAGAGTAAACTTCCCACAGTCAGGATGAAGGAGAGCATGGATCCTGTGGTTCACACACAGTAGTTCCCGGCCGTGTCTGGACTCGATCTGGAAGCTGTGTGTGTGTGTGTGTGATGTCGTGGGGTTGTGGATTAAAGTATCTGTTCTCTCTGCCTCCGGTTCTCCAGCAGCCGGGCGTCTGCTCTCTCCGAGCTCCAGATGACTTCTCCCGGCTGGAGATGGTCCAGCGGCTGGCCAAAGACGGGTATCGCTTCCTTCAGAACCAGAACTACCGGCTCCCGGACCGCTCCGCACAGGTAGACCAGCGCTCGCGTCTGTCGGCATAGCAACAGCAGGTCAGGGGTCAGATTAGGAGGTCACCATATTCACTTGTTGCAGAGTCCCATTTTCTAAAGCTCATGGGTAATACGTTCTTGAAAATATAGACTCAAACAAGCTGTCACAGGAGATCTTAAGCTACATAAAGAAAACTTAATAATTTTCATATTTAAGTCTCTGATCATTTTGAATTTTTAGGATTTTGACACCATTATAACTAAAAATAGCCTAATTAGACTACAGTATAAATATATAATAAGAATATTTTACTATTAATATCCATAATTAGATAAAATATTATTATTATTATTATTATTTACACCATTGTATTCATACAAATTTGTTTAGCAAAATAAATCATGACAATATATTTACAACAATAATAATAATAATATTAATAGTATAGTTATATTATCATTATCATTTACACCATTGTATACATTTTGCATAATAGAAATAAATAAACAGATAAAAGATCAAATAAATAATTGCAAAATATTTGCAATAATAACAATTTAGTACAGTTATATTATTATTATTATTATGAATATTATTATTGTTGTTGTTATTTACACAATTGTATTCAAACACATTTATTTAGCAAAATAAAAAAATATTTGCAATAATAATTAAATGAATATGAATAAGGGTTACACCATTATAATAATGCAAATTGATATGGCAAAATATGTATTATTATTATTATTAATAATAATATGGTGTAGTTATGTCATTATTATTATTTACACCATTGTATTCATACAGATTTGTTTTGCAAAATAAATAATTGCAATATATTTGCAATAATATAAATATGGTAGTTATATTATTATTATTTACATCATTGTTTTAATGCAAATTTCAATTTAATTAAAAAAAAATGTTTGAGGGGGGTTGTCTAACTAACTGTTAAGCTTAAAATGCTACACATTTCTCACTACAAAAGTCAGATTATCTGTGAGCGTACTGTGGCACTGGTCAAAGAAATATTAGTCAAATTGATAATTAGTCAGTTAACCTCTGAAAAGAGCCTGTGTTGAAGAGCTCCAGCAGTGATGATCGTAGAGAGTGTGTTGTGTGCTCTGATGCGAGTGTGTGTGACCCGCTGATGGCACTGGCGTGGCTGGACTTGTCTGTGAGGATGGAGCTCAGTTTGTGAGTCGGAGAGAGTCCTCGTTTCCCTGTGAAGTGATTAAACATTTCTCATAAACTGTGTGAATCCCCTCAGGCTCTGTCTCTGCTGTCTTTACATACGCATCAGGGCTGAGCATTCATCTTTTAGAGTAACAAAAGTCTGTCTGTCTGTAACGTGAGTTTCAGCTTGCAACAAACTCCTTGAGCTAAGAAAACCCTCCATTTTTATATGTGATCATTTCAAACGTAAAATGATCATTATAAATAACGAATCACCACTAAAGGCCTGTTCACACCGGGACGGATTTCGCGCGCGATTTTCGCCGACGTTTAACGCCTCGTGACTAAACAATGTGAGTTTGCACACCGACGCCAAAAACGGCACGCGTAAAGCCCCGTACAAAACCGGGACGAATATCGGCGCGCGTTATTCGTCAGTGTTTTTCAACGCGTTTTTTGTGTTCACACCCAAGCGAGATTCGCTGACGATGAGCCGAGTGAACACGCAAATTCATTCCCTGACATTAGATGGCGCTTAACAGAAATAGTCCTATTTTGTAGTCGCTGTCGCGTTTGTCATAAGTTAGTTCTTTATGTTCCGACACCAACGAGACCAGCAGCTCTACATTCATCTGGCCTTGCATCTTCCTCGTCTTATTTCTTCCCGGCAGTGTAGACCATAGATATCCATAATAAAGGCCATATTTGGCCAGCAGCGCGGACGAGACATCTAGCCTTTATTATGGATATCTATGGTGTAGACCAGGTGTGCCCAACCCTGCTCCTGCCGATCGACTGTCCTGCACAGTTCATCTCCAACCCTAATCAAACACAGCTGAAGCAACCAATTAAGGTCTTCAGGATCTGAAGCAACCAATTAAGGTCTTCAGGCTCACTTGAAAATTAAAGGCAGGTGTGTTTAATTAGGGTTTGAGATAAACTGTGCAGGACAGTCGATCGGCAGGAGCAGGGTTGGGCACACCTAGTGTAGACGCTACTTGGCGTATATCTTCTTCGCCGTTACGTATGTGTGCTCGGCAAGACCGTTTTGTGTTTGAGCGCCCCCAAGTTGTGTTTTACTGTAACTTCAGAAGCTCCAGACACGTGAGCAAAAGCGCCAATCTCATTGGTCGGATCGTTTTTGACAGCGCGTCAAACCAAAAAAACGAACCCGAGACGTTTTTAAAAAAATGACGAAATCTGCACGTGCTCCCAGCCACGCGTAAACAGTGAGTTTAACACCCGAACGTTTTGCTCATTAATAACTAAGGCTGCATTTTAATTCACCTTAATCGGGTACATATTTGCACAGCATTTTGAAAAAAATATTATATATAGGAATTACATACGGTTTTTCTTATTATGAGAGCCAGTAATAGCATCTGTGATGGTGGTCCTTCTCCAGTTTGAATACTATTTTTCCGAAGTGAACTAATTCGTTTTTTGCTCTCAAGCTTAATGTCGAACCATTTTCTTCTCACTTCTGGGAATGTTCGATTAACTTATGAAACTCCATTAACTGCATCTGTAATATGCTGCCAAGCTTCCTTTTCGTAGGACCCGATACGCCACTATGTACGCTTGAAAATAAAATGTGGCGTTTTGAATGAACTTCTGATAATAAAACTTCAATTTCTGCATCTGAGAATTTTTTTTTTCATTCGCATTCATGTCATAATATGATGCCCATATATAGTGGTCAGTCGGATTTAATGGGCGGGATTCATGGTAATTGAGAATGAGCGTGCACGCGCATCCCATTTACGACTGATTGACGACACACACACACATTTCACTATCACATCTGACGTTTACGAAGTATTTGTGAATCAGCAGAGGAGTTTTCGGGAAGGTCTCTTTACGCGCAAATCACTCTCATATTTACTCGTATATTTACGAATGTTTCATGAATGAGACCCATTGTGTTTTAATGGCGCATGTACTTTTTAAATAACCATAACTTGCTAAATTTTCTACCGATTTTCAAACGGTTTGGTTTGTTAGAGATGTAGTTATGACACTTACTTATGAATAATACTTATAAATAATAAGTGTATCAATAAATAATCATCCAGAATTTTAGCCACGTTAATAACGTTTGTAAGAAACCAAATCGTTTGTAAATCCGTCAAGATTTCACCGAGATAAGAGTATTTGTGTTCGTGCCGATCACTCATCTTACATCAGTCACCACAGAGCCCGCCAGAAAGCTTGCCTGTGACAAGATGGCCGCCGGTGATGATGATAGAGACTCCGCCGACATCTAGCCCTTATTATGGACAAAGAACGTATATTGACTCTTTGTTATGGATATCTATGGATCTCACTTCCTGTCACTGAGCCGTTGTTGTGCAGTTGCCATGGTGACGCAACGTGCGACTACAGGCGCCGATCAAATCAAGTAGAATACAATGTAACAATAAATAATAAACTGATCAATTATTTTAAATGCAATATTTCAATTACAGTGTTATTTTAGTCAAATGTATGTACTATTATAGTATTCATATTTTGAATGAGCTTTTATATATGAATATTTTCAGTTTCAAAATTAAGTTTTAGTAATTTTGTTGTTTTATTAGTTTTTGTTTTCGTTAATATTCCTATTTAGCTTTAATGAACTTTCATTTTAGTTTTAGTATAGTACATCTGAAACTTAATTAATTTAATTTAATGTAATATTTAATCTTATTTAAAATTATTAAATTTAATAAATTGACTGTTGATTTTACATTGAAGTGGCACTCCTCGCCTTCCATTACACACATTGTCGGCAGCAAAAAAATGGCAAAAAATGTATTGACATAATCCAGCTCATGTTTCCATTGGACAGAAGCGTTGCATTGTTTCTTTTCCCTGTTCACGAGCTTATGGTTTTATCACAGACACCAGAGAGGCCTTACGTGAGCCTGGGTGAAGTCTGGAGACACACACACAACGCCCGGATTACACATTCGTTCATACATCTATTTCCTAAAGAGATCTTTATGCAGCTTTTGTAATCAAATCATTTCCAGAGTTATATAATGGGATTTCCTTTCCCTGATCCCGTATAGAGACCAAGGGTCGTGCTGAGACCTAAGGTGGAGTTTGTGTGTGTGTGTGTGTGTGTGTGTTTGGGGTGTTTCGGTCCCGTTTCATTGTTTAGAGTAAAGGTCGTGCTCTTTGGTTTTTCCAGGAACATGGGAGTTTTCTGTGCAACTTTTTGGCATAATTAAGGAAACAAAGCAACGCACACTATCGCACACTATCACACACACTCTCTGCGCAGAAACACAGGAAAGGAACACAGAGTGCTTCCTCTCGCCTTTCCTCTGTGCTTTGCGTCAGCGAGGTCTCTGGACTGGATCTCCACCCAGCGTGAGAACCGACGTCAACCGCTGACCCGCAGGACAGGTGGAGACGCTGCTTAAACACACACTTCTGCGTGATAACTGTCATTACTGACGCCTGGAGTTTAACACACCTGCTCGTGTGTGTCCTCCCTCATCAGCTCATGTGGGGGGGAAATTGTTCCAAACACTTGAAGTCTCTTCTGCTCACCAAGGCTGCATTTATTTGATCAAAAATACAGTGAAAACTGTAAAATTGTGAAATATTATTACGATTCAAAATGACAGTTTTCTATTCGAATATATTGTAAAACCTAATTTATTCCTGTGATCAAAGCTGTATTTTCAGCATCATTACTCCAGTCTTCAGTGTCACATGATCCTTCAGAAATCATTCTAATATGATGATTTGCTGCTCAAGAGACATTTATGATTATTATCAATGTTGAAGACAATGCTTCGTATTTTAAGGAAATATTTTTCAGGATTCCATGATGAATAGAAAGTTCAAA